CTGGCCCCCATCACCATCCCCAGCCCGGCAGCCGACACTCACCTCATATTCTTCTTGCTTTAGGGGTAGGGTCGACCTGGCAGGAAAAGGAGAGGAACACGAGGCCTGGTGAGCCCAGGGATCCGGCCGCATGGAGGTCCAGGAGCCAGGGGCCACGGGCCAGAGATCATGCCTGGAGTGGCTCCTCCAGCTCCGTCCTCAGATGTCAGCTTAGCGATTAGGGTGAGGGGACAGCACTTTTTTCTCCCTAAACCCTCATCACGCTGGCCTTCCGTCCCCCGTGAAAGGGAGGGAGGAAGGCTCGTGCCTGCCCCAGGCCCGGCAGCTGGCTTTCCCAGGAGCAGATGCTCTAGGTGAGCTGGCTGTCCTCTGCCTGAGACCGGGCCTCTGGGAATGACCGTGCCCACCAACCAGACCTGCAACTGCAGGCCCCGGCACCACCAGCAGTCCGCTCAGCCCCTTCTCCCGTCCCTCCCACAGAACACACAGGACCCAGCCCACGCCAGGCACACCGAGAGCCCGTCAACCCCTAGGATTCTTCCAGTCCGGTGAGACCCCAAACAAGTTCCTTATCTCTGAACCTCAGCTTTCTCATCTGCACAATGGAGACCAGACCGCCTCCTTTCCTGGGCTGTTGTGGAGATGAGAACAATGATGCATGCGAAGGCCCAGCACGGAGCCCGGAGGATGTGCTCATTAAGTGGGAACCACTGACTTACTCTACGATGTGCAAGGCAAGCGAGAGAATTAACGAGCACAGGCGGACGGTAGGGGACATGGTGTACGGGGACAAGACCGAAAGGTAACCGGGGCCAGGGAGCGCGTGTGCCTGTGGGGTTCGCGGCTCACATGTGGGGTTCGCAGATCCAGCCCCCGAGCCCCTGCCATGCCAGCCCCTTCCTAGCACACCCCACCTCCCCACTCCCCCACGCACACGGGAACCCGAGCAGCAAAGGCTCCGTGAGCAAGAAGAGGAGACTGGAGAGACCCCCTGCTCAGCCGCCCAGCGCGCACTCACTGAATGAACTGCAGCCCCTTCTCGATGTCCGCCTTCCGTCTCTGCCTCTCCATCAGTCTCTGGGGGAGAGAACAGTACATCGGTCCGTCAGCAGGGGCCGGCGCCATCTGCCCCCCACCATGGACCCGCCCTCACTCATCCCTTTGTGCAGGAGCAGAGGGGAGGCACTGAGGCCAGTAACCTGTCTCAGGGCCTCCAAAGACTGAGCCAAGCCATGCAGCTCCTGCCCTCCCCGCCCGAGTCCCCCGGACGTGGAGTTTGTAGAGTGCCCTCGATGGCCAAGGGGCTGCATGGAGGCCCCCTGCCCTTTCCCACAGCATGGCTTGGGCTGCAATACTGCACGGGACACCCTCAAGTTCAAGGGGAAAAACCCTGTGTAACCATCAAACTCAGTCTGGGGAGAAGAGACAGAAAAAGCAAAATGTTGCCCCTGACTATAGCTACAATGTAGTGCCACGCACTGGGCCAGGCTCTCGTCTAAGGCTCTTACTGAATCTTTCAACAGCACAGCGAGGCAGGTGTCATTCTGGCCCCATTTTACCCAGGAGGAGCTGGAGCTCAGGGAGCCCCCGTCATGAGCCGGCGTACAGCTGAGGCAGGATTTGAACCCAGGCCCCTCTCCTTTCATGCCCCCCCAGTAGCCCCTCCACTCAGCCCTACGTGCACCATCTTCATACAGTACATGGTGGTGAGAGAAATTGATGAATGAGTAGCAACTCACCCAACTCAGACTTTCTATAGATAAGAATAAGTGAACAAGAAGAACTGACCCTGAGACGTTAACAATCAGATAATAATACGCGAACAGTTGCAGAGTGCTAACCACATTGTCACGATGGTTTTACACGCAGTTCCTTCCTTAACCCTTACTCCCCGCACAGCCCTGAGTCGGGGCTGCCAGAATGTGCCCATTTTGCAGAGGAGGAAACAGAGGCACAGAGAAGTTGAAGAGACTTGCCCAAGGTCACACAGCTAGTTCATGGGGGAGCTGAGATTCAAACCCCGCAACCTGGCTCCAGAGCCCCCACACGTCACCATCACCCTTCCTGTCACCCACTAAGCAATCGGCCCCGCCGCCCCCACCTCCCTCAGCCTGTCATCAGGCTCAAAATAATCCCCTCCCTGGCCCGGAGTCCCCGCTGCCTGCTGCACAACCTCTCCTCCCTTTCCTGGTCACGTGTAGTGAAAGCATTGTCCACACCGTCTCCACATCCTCACCTCCCACGCCACTCCCCACCCACGGCCACCCACTCCCACTGCTCCGCAGCCGCCTGCCCAGGGCCCTCCCGCCCCAGGGACCTCCTCACTGCTGAGTCTGGCAGGGGGGCAGGTCACTCACCTTTCCTGGCCCTCCCGCTGCACCTGCCCGGCCCCCTCACAGTCACCTCCCCGAGCATTTCTGCTCCGTCCGTTCGGGCTCCTCTTCCCCTGCCCAGATCCCCCAAATCACCGGGGCTTCCATAAGGGACAATACTCCTGTTCTCAGTCCACGCGCTCTCCCCAGGTGAGCCCTTGCATTTTGTGACTTCCTGAGTCATGTCGATGACTCACAAACCTGCTCCGCCCACCAGGCCACCCCCTCCCCAATATTTCAGATTGGCGTCTCTGACTTTCTGGGTAGAGCTACCTGGATGTCCAACACCCAGGCTGCTAATGACTCCCATGCCTTCCCCAATCCTAGGCTCTCTACCTAGAATGCCCCCCCCCCCCACGCCAGCCAATTCCATTCATCCTTTAAGACCCAGCTCAGCCCAGCCGGCGTGGCTTGGTGGTTGAGCATCGACCTATGAACCAGGAGGTCAAGGTTTGATTCCCGGTCAGGGCACATGTCCAGGTTGTGGGCTCAATCCCCAGTGTGGGGCGTGCAGGAGGCAGCCGATCCATGGTTCTCTCTCATCATGGATGTTTCTATCTCTCTTCCTCTCTGAAATCAATAAAAATAAAAATAGAAAGACCCAGCTCAGATGCCTCCATATCCAGAAAGTCCTCCCTGGTGCCACCCCCGCTGGGTTGGTTGATCCTCGAACTCATAACATTCCAATCTTTTTAAAAATATATTTTTATTATTAATTTCAGAGAGGAAGGGAGAGGGAGAGAGAGATAGAAACATCAATAATGACAGAGGATCATTGATGGCTGCCTTCTGCACACACCCCCACTGGGGATCGAGTCTGCAACCTAGGATTGTGCCCCGACTGGGACTCGAACTGTGACCTCCTGGTTCATAGGTCTGCATTCAACCACTGAACCACACTGGCTGGGCAACACATCCCAATCTTAACTCAGCAGCTTCTCCCTAACCCTGTTTCTCTTCCATGAACCCCCAACTCTAGTCATAGCTGCGACTGCCATCCTGTTCAATCTTCCACCTTTACCTGTGAAACTTTTCTCCCTCCGCAGCTCCTCCCCTCCCCTCCACAACCGGGGCTGTCTCTCAGGCCCTCACTATCTCCTGCCAGCAGCCTCCAGGGAGGCCCCTCCAACCTGCTGCCAGGGGTTGGCGGTCAAGGATATCTGTCTAACACACGTCAGTGCCACGCCCCTGCTCAACACCCTTCCGGGTGTGCGCACGCAGACACACACACACACAGTGCAGGCTTTTCTAAAAGGTGAAAACCGGACACACTGTCGTCTAGTAATGGAGCAGTGCCAGTTTTCTGGGTCTGATAAGATAAGACAACTATATATTACCATCCGGGAAGGCTGGGTAGGGAACGCCGTGCTATTTTTGCAATTTCCTGTGAATAAAAAGTTAAACAAACAAACCTTCCATGACACCCACTAGCAGGGCAAGTCCCGGGCACACAGCACTGTAGGCACCGCCTCCTTCCAGCCCGGGCCCAGCCTGGACTCTTACACTCTGGCAACGTCCCATTCAAGCTGCCCATCTGTCTGGAACGCCCTTCATACCCTCGCTGCCTTCCCACCCTGGCCAGTGCCCGGTGCTTCAGTGAGGCTCGGCCCAGAGGGTCCTCTACAGGAAGCTGCCTTCCCCGAGGGCCCTCGCACAGCCCCGAGCTCACCACCACTTGTCCTGGTTAACTGACATCAGGTGCTGTGTCCCCAGCTCTCTCCAAACTATGAGCTCCCTGAAGGCATAGGCTGCCCCTGGGTCATCTCTGGGAGCCAGAGGAACAGGCCTGAACCCACTGTGGGGAAGGGGAGCCTCGCGAACCCTAGAATAACAGTGTAGAGGCTGATTTCGGTTCCCAGGTATTAAGCACTTTCTCCTACCAGACATTGTTCTAGGACAGTGGTTGGCAAACTGCGGCTCCCGAGCCACATGCGGCTCTTTGGCCCCTTGAGTGTGGCTCTTCCACAAAATACCACGTGCGGGCGCGCACGTACAGTGCTGCGGTTGAAACTTCGTGGCCCATGCGCAGAAGTCGGTTTTCGGCCTGGGCGAGTCTATTTTGAAGAAGTGGCGTTAGAAGAAGTGGGGGTATGCTCGCTGAGGTCGACCCCTCAGATTGAGGACGTTTTTAGCAAAGGCCAGCTTAGGAGAACCCTAATTAAGTGAATAACAATGTACCTACCTATATAGTTTAAGTTTAAAAAATTTGGCTCTCAAAAGAAATTTCAATCGTTGTCCTGTTGATATTTGGCTCTGTTGACTAATGAGTTTGCCAACCACTGTTCTAGGAGCTTTAAATGTAACACTCAATCCTCACCACATCCCCTAAGAAGGTACTGTCATCATCCCCACTTTACAGATGAGGAAACCAAGGCACCAGGAAGTGACATGATCTGACAGTTAGTAAGTGATGAGCTGGGGTTTGAACCCTGGCAGTCGACTCTGGAGGCCACCAGTCACCTCCCAACCCAACCGTGTTCCTCCCCATCCCCACACCCACAGGACGTCGCCAGTCTCAGCCCACACGCCACCTACTGGCACTCACCTGTCCCAGGTTTCTTGAAAAAGTAGCAGCCAGTGCAGATGCAGACCACACACACGCACACACACGCACATGCACACACACGCGCACGCACACACGCACGCTACCTGGGGTTATGTCATCTGCAAGATCCCTGGCCGTCTCCTGACTCACCAGCCTCCGTGGCTTACTCAGAGACCTGGGAAGGTTTCTTCTCGCCATCCCGACCTCCCCAGCAAGCATTCTAGGTCTGCGCCGATCCCTACCCCACAGTGCTATGGGCCCTGCCAGTCCACCCTCGGACCCTCGGCTCCCAGGAGGTCAGGCAGGGGTTTCAGCTCATTTTTGGAGGTTATCACTGAGCGTCAAGCACCTTCTATGGCAGGGGGTTTGAACTGGGGCCCACGAGAGAATTCAGGGGTCCACTTAGAAGTTTGCTTTTGTTTTTTAATCCTCACCCGAGAATATTTTCCTCTATTGATTTTCAGAGAAAGTAGAAAGGAGGAGGGGGTAGTGGAGAGAGAGAGAGAGAGAGAGAAACAATGATGTGAGAGAAACACATCGACTGGTTGCCTCCTGCACTGACCCTAACTGGGGCCAGGGATCAAGCCTGCAACCCAGGTATGCGTCCTTGACCTGCATCGAACCTGCCACCCCTCAGTGCCCAGGTCGACGCTCTAACCACTGAGCCCGCCGGCGAGGGCCATTTTCAAGCTTTTTTCACTAACCGCTACCTGATATTTAGCATGCCCTTCAATTATGGATGTAGGCAATCCACCGCTCTAGTCTGTGCTAGAAATCACTGCTTTGCCCGTCACCTTTCAGCTACTGCAGACATAACAAAATATTGCTCACACTCATCACAACTGCGGAGTTATGGTAGTTATGTTCTCACCGCTGGGTCTTGCTTTTTAGTAAATTGATGAAAAAGCATGGCCACAGGCCAACAGGATCGGTGTCCTCTGTCATCCTGTGCATTTCAAGTTTAATGCATTTCAAAGCAGCTTCTAGGGAGGCTTCCGCAGGCCGCCTGACGGGTCAGCGGGGCAGCGATGGTTTAAAAGCTCTGTTCTAAGGAATCATGTTTCATCCCTCCAATAATCTCACACGTAGGTGTTATTATCCCCACTTTCCACAGAAAAGCCAGGCTTGAAAAAATAAAATCATAAAATAAAAAGTGAGCC